ACGCGAAACACGGAGGGCTATCTATGAGAAGCGCCATGTTTGTTAAAGTGGCGTTGAAGTAATTGTGATTAAAAATTGCTACGCTTTTGTCGAGGAGCAACGATAAACGACAAATGCCACACGTGTCACTTGTCTAAGGTCCCGAGTGTCACAGCCTCAGCGAGTGGCACAAGGTAAAGGGCTGCAACGTTAGGTTGCAAAACAGTATACACATGTTCACTCCAAGATCCTTTTGCTCAGGTACTTTATGCGATTACCTTACGCTATCCTAGTCTTATTATTAATAAATATAATTGTATTATAGAGATATTTATTACCTCAGCAGCTTTGTCTCAGGGTTAAGAACGTCTTGCTTCTCATTTGATACTTATCGAATTTAAATGTTCAGGCATTTGAAAAACACAGGGACGTTCGTAGGATTCGAAAGACACGGTGTACCATAGGAACGAAGGATTTCGAAAAACCGAGCGGAAATTTAAATTCGCAGACAGCGTATTCTCGCAAAAGACACTCTTCCCCCATCGATCTTTAAACGACTTCCGATCGAATCCTCTCAGCGACGTATCGTTCGATTTTTCATCGACGTCATGTCCTTCCCTCTGTCGTGTTTCGGTTTTCGTGGTTTACGGGGAGAGAACATTAACGATGAAAGGTCAGGTTCGAAGACGAGCAGACTCCCGCTGTTCTCTTTGATGTGCATCGAAATCGTCATTTCGTCCTGCACCGTCTGGTCGTGCATGGTATTTCACCCTCCGCTGACCATTCGACGAGCGGTGCCTTCTGGCAGGGCTGAATACGCGTTCGTGATCCACTGTGGAAAAAGGAAACCGCGGAATCCTGTCCTTTGTAAAAATCCTCTGACGTGGGGCTCATGGTCGCGGAGAGGAAAATATTTTCACCATTCAGGCCACATCGACCGTAGACAGTGTTAATATTCGTAAGCATGCCGGCCATGTCTCGGTGTATGCGGCACTCCGACGAGACTCTTCTATCCAGATGATTACAACACGAAGCTTTTCTGGTCTACATGTACGCTGGAGATGAACCGTGCAAAGGTGTACAATCATGGTTTCGTGTAATGTTGCGTACCTTTGCGTGGACCTCGCGCCTTTATGCCGGTAAAAATAAGTTTTTACTCGTGAGCCGAGAGTTCTTTGTGCGATTCGCGATGAAGCTTTGCGGAGAAATTAGATTTCGGTTGGTGGGACGTGATTGAAGAATTCTGTATAGGGTACGGTGTCTTTCGATCATCGATCGAATCTGCGTTACATCGTTTAACATGTTATTTGAGATTTACGAGTGGAGGATTAGTTTCCTACTCGCTTAAATTAGGACGATAAACAGAAGAGTCTGTTACCGAATCTGCGAGACATGATAATTATATTCCATTATCCGTAATATATAATGGAATTAACAGAAACTTCAAAAAAGAAAAGCTAGTAGTTCTACGTCAAATATCGAATCGTGCTTGCAATTAAACTAGAATCCTGTCAAATTTAAAAACCAAACTTCAAACCAGTCCCTTGTTCGTTACCCGTTTTCTCTTATCGGTGTTTCAATTGAACAGTACATTCAACGAAACACATCGCTGAACGTTACACAAGAGAAAAATAAAAATTCTCTACGAGAAACAATGCATCTATTCACTGAACATAAAAAATTCATGTTCAATACCGTAACTGCGATATAAAAATGAAAAAGAGGAAAAATACGCGCGTTTTGATTCAAGCAGAAGAATTGTTTGATCATGCGAACCTATATACCACGTCGCGTGAAATCAGCCTGAAATCAACTTCTCTCCGCTTCTTTTCCGTTTCTGTCACGAGAGCTTCATTTCTTTGCCGTTCTCCCTGCACCCCCCGCGACGGATTCTCGATGCGAGCTCCGTGTCACCGTAGTTCTCGAAAGTAGCAAGAACGTAGCCAATTTCCTCGATCTCACGCTGAATACCCGAGTGCTTCTTTTCCGTTTCCCTTTGTTTCCCGCTTTGCACCGACACCGTCTGCCCTCACCTTTTATCCCGCCTCTCTCCTTCCCGATTTAAACGATTCTCTCGACGCCATCGGGGGAAAACCTTAGCCCGGAGAGTTCGTCTTCCTCCTGATTTGCATACAGACAGCAGCCTGCATGTCTCACTCGCGGGAAAACGGATTCAATTCTTTCTTCCGCTTTAACAATACGCTTTAACTCGCCGAATTAGTGCCGTGTTACCTTTGGGTATGGATGGATTAGTAAAATTGCTCAGTGAAGTGAAAGATTTTACGATTTACGCGAAGGGTCTTTCTTCAGCAGGGTGTAATACAAATTTGAATAAGAGATTGCGTAGAGATTGAGGAATAATGAAAGTTCATTCGTTCAAAATTGCCTTCACCGATCGTTTCTTCCCTCGCTGCCGTGAAGAACTTTAATTCGGTAATTAACTCTGTTGCAAATACGCGACATCAATTAATCCGATTAAACAGCTGGTAATAGGATGACTAGTTCGATTCAACATCTGATGAATAGGACCCCTAACCGAAGACGTTCGCATCCAGTTTCTCCGGGACCAATTCCTCGAGCTTAGAATTCCTCTGCAACATTAAAATTGAGTTTTCCTGAAACTGCCTTTGGTACAGCACCAACAACTTTAATTATTTAAGTCACCTGTTTCTGGCCCAGAAGATGGAACATAACGTGGTATAAATAAGCCATGAAAGCAATTCGTTCAGCGATCCCGAGAAGGTTGCCACTTTGCTTCTTCAATTATAGATGGAATTAATTTTAACAGTTCACCTATTACCAACATTGCTTTAGGGACCTCTCGTTGCGTTTTTAAACGTCTCGTCCTGTTTCCATTGTGTGTTTTATTAAAGATTTTATACGCTGTTCAGTAAATTCAGTCTCGATTGCTATGCATTCAATCTTCCGACTACTTAGGATTCTATTTGGCGACATCGCAAGGAATGCAAGGTAGTTCCGTGATCCTCTCAGGGTCTAGCATATTTTATTTAATTTCCAGGCGATAGAGCCGAATAACTATCGTACAATTTTCAATCTTCTCTTTTATTTCCTCTCGTGCACCTTATTTAAGAGTATTACGTCAATCTTATCTCCTATAAGCTGCGTAATCGCTGCAAGCTATTTTCTTAAACTTCTTCTACCTACTTTTCAGATTTTCTTAGCATAAATTTTTATATGCTTCTTTGGTAGATGCTTTCACACGTTGTGAGCTCATTTTCTATACGTTCATTAACCGCGTTTTGAAAATTTAACCACGCGAAAGTTGTAATTAATTGCGAAGGGGAATGAAAACCAAATGACGTCGAGTGCAAAGAGTTAACACCGAAACTGAATTTTAATAAACACCCGTTCAATTTCCTTGGTACTCCTGTGGACCTAATCGCGAGTATCGTAAAGGAAATCGCAAACCAATTAACACTCCTGCATTGACCCCTTTCTGAAACCCGATTCACTCGGGGATCGAGGCAATTCCTTCAACGGCCTCTCGTGACTACTTAAGTCGCTTTGTTCCCCCTTTTGTCCCGGTATTTCCGTTTTCACTTCCTCCATGACGCCGGTAATTCCGTTTCGCCAGACGGCCGTTTGTTCTTCCTCAATTTACTCCGCGTCGTGTTATCGTTTACGAGCTACTTTCCCTAAGAACGCCCGATTCGAATGCGGTTTCATCGCGGAGCAGAGGAATACCTCCGGGAAGGATCACAGATGACGACGAATCGTTAATATGCAAGTGGGAATAGATCGGGCCACGTCGAAGCCGCTCTGCGTGTGCGTGAACCGGCAAACAAAGTTAACGAAGTTGACAGGATAAACGAGGCGGACAAATATTGGCTAGGATATAGGGAGGGTATAAACGAATATGAAACGAGGAAAGCTGCGGACAATTTCGTCGATAATCTTGTTTTTCTGCGGCTTGATTCTCTGAAGGGGTTGGGAAACGAACAGGGGCTCTGTGTTATCCGTGTATATTTAATTAACGTTAAATAGGCTTTTTATTGGTTTTAAGCGAAAGATTATTCCGATACTAACGGTTGGAAATGATAATTATTGCACGCGATAGAATATTCGATGGCACAGTGGTAGATAAAATTAATAATACTGTTGGAACCCGAATTTCAATATACAACAGGGGTTCTAGTAACAAGGCTACGTTGGAAAAATACAAGTCGGCGGAGAGGAAAAAAACAAAACAGAAATTGAAACTGGATTTAAAACTGAACTGACTACTGAACTGGAACTGTACTGACACTGTCCTTTCGCAAATTTTGTGGGCGCTTATATAATGTTAGTTTTTGGGGGGGGGGGTGAAAATGACCATTGGCCCTTAGTGAAAGTGGGAATGAGTCAATTATTTTTGGACTCTGAAATAGGCTTGCGTTTATCAGCCAGGTCCTTCTAGTGACTAAGGGCCAACGAATCGTTAGTCATCCAACAATACCTATGTAGATATTTTAGTTTCGAGATAAATGGATATTTAGTGGAATATCTAACTGATAACAGTATTGAACATTTTTGCAAGTGTGTGCACTATTGTACGACGTGTTTGGTACTTTCTGACACATATAATTTTCAGGGATGAAGAAAGGTTAGGATGAGTGAAGATACATTAGAAATGGTCAAGTCAGAGTGTGCGTACATTTATAATTACGAAAAGCAGAGTTATTTTAAAACCTTAGCAGAATTTTTCAATGGTCTAACTTGCTTGTACATCGTATAATTATAATCACTCGTATATATTTTACTCTAGGACAAATATCATTTATCATTTAACTCAGACTTCATCACTCATCGAAGAGATGAGCACGAAAAATAATAATTTTAAAGTTAACGATAGAACGTAAATTACACGAACAATTTCGGGAGTGATTCGTTTGACAGGAAAGTGAAAAGTAACGCACGACCCATAACTTTGACCATTTCCAAATCCTTCGGACGTACATGACGCGGCGTTTAGCATATGCGATACGGACTTGGTCGTAAAAGTGAATTATCGAGGTACTCACCGTTGATGTGGAGATTCACGAGAATATACTTGGGCGGATGAGTGCTGATCTGGCACTCGTACTGGCCCTCGTCGCTACTGTTCACGGGCTTGATCTGTAGACGCCAGTTGTCCGGATATTGGAACTTCACCGTGTACCTTGGATCCCTTATGTACGAGTGCTGCCCCACAGTCAGCAGATTCACCTTTTGCCCGTTGTCTTGTCTTCGTACCCAGGACACCTGTTTGATAGATTATATTAGAAACATTCGTTCACTTTCTTCCATGTCTTTTGGGTATTTTTTAATTCCATTTCATTCATAAATATCTAAGATAACTTCCGTGACTTGGGGAAATAATTTGCAAGTGTTACAGAGAATTAACACGTTAGCTGTCATGCGTATTTATGAGGGAATCCCGGTCAGACCATGCGCGCTGCTTGTAAGTGCGTGATATAGCAATACCAATATCTGTTTAGGTGACAACAAAGTATTACAAAAATATAAAAAACGGGCTGCGTTCATCCTCATTTAATTCTCTACAATTGGTCGAGAGATAAGGACTATCTCTCACGACTTGGAAGAGAAATGGCCAGAAGAATGACAAAGCAAGTTGCCACATTTTGTGACACCTGTAAAGGACAACCGCTTTTTTTGTTTAAACTGTTTCAATAAAATCCATTCAAGTTTTTTGATAAGTAATATTCGAGTACAATAATGATACAATACTGAAATTACTTACAATTTATGAAAACAATGTAATTTTTGAATTTCTTATCGCATTTTATACTGTCAGTCACCGGTGACTGACGTGGCAGCTAACGTGTTAACGAATTCAAAATCATGCGTTGATTCTTGGAACCCCCGATGACAGTAGAGAACAAGAAATGCGATAAAAGGTCCAATAATACGAATATCGAGGATTAAACAGTGTCAAGAATGAAGTAGTGCACTATCGGAGCGTGTGATTAATACGCGCAAAATGTAACTGGAGAGGTAAAATCATCCCTTGAACACGAACCCTTAGCTGGTAGGACAGACTACGTCACTTCACTGTTCTCGTTTTACTCGCGGAAGATAAGAGAGAATTCTATCGTGGCATAGAAAACCGAAGGAAGACGCATGGTCCGATTGCTCGAAATCCGCAGTTTATCCACGTAACTGGAATTGGATAGTGTTTCCCCACACTCCCATTAAGTGTGCGCGATATCGTACATCTTCGACATGGACATCAAGCTAGCTATTATCCGCTCAACAGAGATTGCTGCGTATGGACAGCTATCAATGATGCGCGTGATCGCTGCCGATCGTGATCGATCGCTCTTGCCACCTTCACGATGGAACGCGAAATATTTGATAGAAAATTCTGAACCACGCTATCTGCCATTAATTTTTCGAAATTAATGAAACTCGTCAGTGGCGATTTGATAACGACACAATTTTTGACACGATGAAATATCTTCTTGTCCGAAAGGATCTGTTTTGGCCTTTGAAATATTTAGCTGAGGGATACAATTGCGTCAATTTTAAAAAAATTTTTTTAAACGGATTAATAAATAGATAGAACGTTATGTAAATTAACGAGATTCCTTTGAGCTAGGTACGAGAAATATTTCTTCTAACTTTTTCTGGGTGTCGCAAATTTGACTAGCAGCTATTTAGACTAGGGATTTCACCAATCCCTATCCCTAGTATTTGGAAAGAATCACTGTCTAGCTTGGAATAAAATACAGGAAACGATGAAATATCGAGCTAATTCCCAATTATCGATATTAGACGATGGAAACGATTTACGTAGGATCATTTGGTTGTTAGATGTCGACATCTCAATCGATGATACTGTCACGAACAGTAAAGAGAACCCGGTATTGTTCGACGATGTCTCGAGTAATGCGTAGCAATAAATATCGTCTTTAGCCGAGTTATGCACCTTCAAGATAATCATGCATGGATAATCGTGTTAGCCGACACTGTCGTTAGCAGCACTGGCAACAGCAACGACATTAATAGCCTAATATTACGCTGAGGTGAGCTCGACCGCAGTTCAACCAAGTGCAATGCTTTTAGGATATAACTACTGCTGGACGAGTTTCTGTAGAGTTGGTCGTAGTCGTTTCGCTAGTTCGTGGAAGCCTTGGTAAATTCGCTTGAAAAGACAGTGGCCACCGCGTGTCATCGGAGAGTAAACACAAGTGTCGAATATGCTAGAGCTGTTTCGTTTGCAAACGCTTAGTTTCGTTGTCTGATTGTTCATAGACAGTATGAGAATTTATTGAAATTGTCTAGAGCGATGAAACGGGGCGTTTAAGTTTAATTGTATTTCCAAGCACTACGTGTGAATGTGTCATAATTTTTTGATTGGGCAAGCTGTTCAAGCCAGTATGTTGTTGTGATGAGACACACCTTGAAGACACGTCGTCTAACATCACCTCTAAACTCCGACATAGGATAAGAAACCCATTATGTCACACCAACTCTGTATAAATACCGCCCCGAAACGAAATAACATCAGACAATAGATAACACACCTCGATGACACACCGCATCACCCTTGAATTCAGACATAAGATAAGATACCCATTATGACACACGAACTCTGTATAAATACCGCCCCGAAACGAAATAAAGGCTGGTCTATTATCGAACGTACTCCTTGGCTGTTTCCTTCGCGAAGGCTTATACCTACGGGCTAACCCTTCGACCATCTCTCAAGAATCGCTCATCCTAAACCTTTTACGCCACCTGTCTCGTGACAAGAGAAACATTCTCGCTGCTTATTTAGGTTTAGGGTAAGATACGTTCGAGAGGCAATTGTCAATGAATGTAGGAATGCTAGGATTTGAGAGTGAATGCAAAGGAACACTTTGGCCTACCTAGCTGATGATGAGCAATAAACAGCAGCTTAGGGTTCAGTCCGAATGTTTAGAATAACGTGGAGTGCACGTGGAAGGACGAGTGACCACGTGCAAGGATCAGATGAACGGGATATTTATGACTGTATGGAATGAAAATGAAGAGCGAAAGACGCCTGAATGTTTAGGGTACCTGACCCACCTCGAGAGGGAGGCTATGGGAAATGCGTGATCGAAGAAGAAAGCTTGAGTATGTAAGAAGACAAAGTGCAAGGTTCAAATGAGGCTGTCCTGGGACTGTCCTGTTGGTGAGAGTATACACGAAGTTTGAAAGAAAGTCGAGTCGATGATAGTTCGAAGAGTAAATAAAATATACTGGAATTAAACAACATCCTTTATTTCGTATATTGCCAATCAGAACATATCCCTACATGTATGTATGTATGTCGATACATATTTCACGTATACTCGTTATCATAAATTCGTTTTCAGCGGTACGTTACCCTTTTTCCATCCTGTATTTGTCGTTTGTCACATTTTCTCAGACTAAGTATTATCTCGCTATATTTTTCGCCGACCATAACAAAAGAAGCTAATGACGCGCTACGTCTCCGAGATCACGACCAAATTTTATTCTCTTCATCGCGAAAACCAATAACGGGGAAATGGACGGGCTAGAAATTTTGAGTGACATAAATATACGTGATAGTCAATTTTGAATATTTATGAATGTTTCATCACGTTTCTTTATTTATCAGATAAAGTTATTTATCATGCATTTCTCTTAAAAATTCGTTTATTATTCTATCTGCTGCTTCATTTGCATTTCGCGTGTTTCACCTTTTATGAATGTGAATTTGTACGAAGCTTATATAAAATATTCAAAAAAAAAAAAGGAAATAAAAAAAGAATAAAGGAAAAAGAGTTCGGAGGAAATTTTACCGATTTGAACAGACCAAAAGCTATCTCGCGAATTATTACAATTTACTCAATTCGGGTATGGAAAAAAATGTTCGATATTATCTCAATTTCAAATTAAAATGAGGAAAATATAAGAAAAAATCTACTCGTATAGAAAACTTGATTATAACCATGCCCTATCGTAATTTTACTAAGCCCTATTTCAAACAATTTCCAATAATATTCGAATTTCAAATCAAAGGGACCAGAAGTAAAAAGAAATTCTACTCACACGGATATTCAAATTGCAACCTCCTCAGTAACTATTACATTTGAAAAGAATTTTCATTCGCATTTTAATCGAAAATCATACCACAAATAAAGTATATTTATAATAAATCCCTGCAACGGTAATTATTTACCTCTCTCTGTGTTTACTATATCCAGACATTAAAAGAAACCAGAAAACAAACAACGCAACGCGCGTCCACTGCAAAATGGCTGGAATATTTGTGACGCGGAACGATCAGATTCACGCGATGCAGGTGTCAACGACTATCAGTGAAATTCGCACAGAGGTTCGCCGGCAGCTATAATTCCTTTTCGACCTCGCTGGGACACGTATAATAAGGGCGGATATTAAATTAATTCGAACGGGGCGATTGTTCCAACTGCAGCAGACGTGTCTGCCTACCGGAAGCGCCGTCGCGAGCCAAGATATAAGGCTGGCGTACGCAAAGAAATTAATTAGAATAAATCGTGCCCACCTATCTTCGTGGAAACGAACTTTCTTACAGTTTACAAGATTAATTGTGAGTTATCGTCTTTCTAATTTCCTGCGAAGAGTAAACCCGACGAAATGTGAGACCCCGACTATTAAACTGTTAAGATATGCAAAACGATGCAAAGGATATGTAAAGGTATGTAAAACTATGGTGAAATATGCAACGGTATGTAAAAATATACAGAAACATGCGAATAAGTAGAAATATACAAGACCTTTCGCCTACTTTTGCATATTATAAAATGTTTTACATATTTCTCCATACGCTTTACATATATTTGCATACATTTCCCACGCTTTGTACATATTTTACATATTTTTGAATCATGTATACTCTATGTACCATGTATTTTCATCGACGGTTTTGCATATTTCAGTAGTCGTTCCGGGTTTATGTCCGGCATGAACGTTGAACGTTTCGAACGATTCGTAAGAGAAGTTGATAAATAGGGAAAAAGATGAGACAAGGGTTGAAAGACTCACGGTTTTATCCTGAAGCAAGGATATCCTGCAGTCGAGCAAGGCACTGCCACCGGCCTGTATGGTCATGTTCTTGCTCTCCCCCTCGATATGAGGGCCCCACCGATGATCGTGATGATGTTGATGTTTGTTCAGCGTGCTGTGCGCATCAAAAATGTAGTTCAACATCGGCGCGTCCGTCGGTACCGATCGCTTTGCCGCCGTCGTCGATTTCGTTGATACTGAATCTGTTACCACTGGTATATCTGAAACAATGACGAACGATCGATTAAAGTCGATGTTCCAACGTTGTGATTCCATCTTAACGCCTTGCCCCATGATTCGAGTTTCGATCACGGGTACCATAGTACTCACAACGTGTCGAGTCCGTTCGTGCGAACGCTACTGTGAATAATACACAACTGAGACGGAAAGACATCGGTGAAAACAAACCATGAACCTGACACGCGTTGTTCACCTTGGGTCCTACCTATAGACCACGCCTCTCATCTACGATACCCATGTATGGCACGAGGTTCCTTGCCACGATACACACGATATTGCAGGCGAAGGGATTAACTATTAACCCTTTGCACTCGACGATTTTTAAACTGACGATAAATGGTAAATAAAGAATTGTATAATAATAGAATTGTAGAATTATTTGATTTCGATACCTCACACACTGTTACATTACATTAAATTTGATATATTAATTAATATCGATCTTCCAAATTTTATGAAATTGTGATTGAAAATCACCTCTCGAATGCAAAGGGTTAATTTTAATTCGACTCAATTATTTTATTTAATCAAGTAAATATCCGTTTACTGCAAGAATTAATTTTACGCGAATATTAAAGATCTGCGTGACGATGAATAAATATATTTAGCTTTGTATATAAAGTTAATGTAATATCGCAAAGAAAAGAAATTTGCATGGTGAAATTATTTTTATAAAAATAGATGAATTTTATGTCACTCTGTGGAATTTTTTCGCGACTACAATTTTAATAATCGCGATATAAAATTAAGTGATCATTAAATTAATTCATAGATGCAATACCGAACCAATACACTTTTATTCGAAATTAATGCAACGCGATTACCGCGTGTTAATTATGATTTACGTATCATACGGGGTACTCGACATCAAATTAATCACTTTCTTTTGCCGATGTACACTCACGCTTCGTTGCAACGGAATATATGCTTGCTACTGTTGGTTACCGTCGATATCCACGTTCGATTTCCTTTTTTTCGATATTTATTCGAAAGTTTTTCGCGATTTATTAATCGACACATCCATGTCGCAGATCCCGTGCACCAGATATCTTGTCGCGATATTCACCAGTCTCTGGAGATCTCCGTTTCCCGCTGTTCACAAGTATTGGACAGACAATTGACAGCTGACAAGTACATATTGGCGTTTCTGTTCGTTTCCAACGTCTGTCCATTCAGGTTTGTAATCGTTGAATGAGTACACAGTACAGCGCAGGGGAGTAATTACTAGCGTTGATATTCTTCGTAAAAGAATTTTCAGCAACGAGGCGGAGAAAACGAAATATGACGCGTTATTCGTCGTTGACATAATTAGAAACCTTCGAATTACTTCCAGCTACGAGTTTATATTATGTACTTTTCGAATTACCACTTCGGTGTTCATCAGCTGATCAGTTCCCGAGTCTCTTTATTCCTGTTATTTAATTTATAAAATTACAATCTTCGAAAGGCGAATAAATGAAACATAAACGAATTTGTAATATCGCAGAGCGAAAATTCAATTATCATTTGTAAAAGAGAGCTGTTTCATTCGTAGACAGATATCAAGCTGCTGATAATTCGAAAGAACAGATTCCGATCCACCTACACTCACGATCGCAAAGAAAATGTCATTTCACCGAAATAATCGCATCGAATTTCCCAAATCGATCCACTCTACTCGATTCTCCTACGCAATTCAACTCACTTTGCACCTGGCATCAATATTAAGTTCGTCGATTTACAGCCGTCGTTGCCCACGTTCTAGAACCCGTACAATTTTTATAAACAATTTCCATGCACCTATGGCGAACCCATATCTTACCATTAGCACCGAGATGGGACACCTACGCGAGGTTTCGAGCGTGCTTTGTCTAATTTATCGTTCTTCGGTCTTCAAGCGAAGAAAGATAGGTGAATGGCGAAAGAGGGTGAAACAGGCGAGCTCGAGGGTTCGGTATCAGACGTTCTAGGGCTGCGATATTTCTTCGATCGCGTGCACCGCATCGGAAAACAATAAGTACGTATAAACGCATAGATATTTGTCTGATCGTACTGCGAAAAGGATGTACGATGCGTCACTTAAATATAAATTTATACCCATCGGTCGGCTGCTCCGAAATCCACCCCTATTAGCAGCTCCCCTATCTTCTCGTTAAACCGTTCGATTCTGCTTCTGAAAATTTTAACTCGCCACGTTCGGCTCGTTCAGCTTTGTTTCCCTTTAGGCAAGCTTTGGGATTTCGTTGCGAGTTGCAAAGAGGAATTTATGTTAAGGGAAAATTTGTACAGAGCGAGATGCTACTCGTTCACGTTTATTGTGCACTTAAAGTGCACTGAAACTAAGTGAACTTAAAGGGAAAATTGGATGTCGACCACGGGGACGGGATTCGAGAGTTAGAGGGAACTTTTTGGTTTCGTTAGTGGTTATTTGCTGTCGAATAGCGTGGAGAAAATTGGCAGTGGCAGGTGTAGATGTAGTCAGATGAAATTGGACGAAGAGTCGTGCATAGGTTTAATGGTCCAGGGAATAAGGTTCCTCAAGTGGAGAATTATTTTGCGTTGTGTCTCTATCTCCGTTTTGCGAGACAACTGTGATCATAAAGGGTTGGAAGATCGAAAATTTTATAACGTCGGAGCGATAATCGAGGATCCAATATTGATTTCATATTAGTAGGAGAAACGGAAACGAAAATTTGACTAAAGCTCTGTCAAAATGAAATAATATGGCTGTGGAAGTATATTTTTAGATTAAACACTGTACCGAATAAATACATTTCTCGCTTCGCAGGATTTAAAAGCCAAAGATACGCTATAGCAATTTAACATAAATACTCGTGAAACGAAGATTAGAATTAATGGAATGACAATTCAGATTTCTGTCAAAAGCATTGCTCGATAAAATTATTATTAAATTATTAAACGCTATCATTATCCCCCTACTCGGCGTATTAAAATGCAATCAGTAAGGGGAGATTCTTAAAATAACCGTAAACGTTGCTCCTGATTATCCTAAATAATCCACAATGTAATCTACTTTGCTCCAATCCTGATTCCTTCCAACAACCAAATACGTTCAATCCATTACGAAACTCGCGCAAATCCGACTCAACATCCACATCCCCTAATACCATTACAAACGAACAACCAACCAACACACCTCCAACCAAGTATTAATCACCTAATTACGTTGCTCGGAATCTACCTTCTTATTACTCCTGCACGAACCGCATCCTTCCGGTAGAATCTGGCAACGAATCGACCACCGCCTATCCACCCCTTTCTCTCCATCTTTTCAACCCCTACGAACCAGAACGTTCGTCTATCACTCTCTGTCCAATCTTTTCTCTTTGCTTCCGTCGTGGAAATTTCGCCGCGGCCCAGGGTGAAAGAAAACTGATCGGGAATTCCGGTGAAACCGTCGAAAGCGTGTCCCGGATACTGAAGAGGAAGCGACGGCTTCTTGCCTCGGCGAATATGAAAATCGTTATACGTTCGTATTGACATTGTCGTTCGACCGTGGATCGGGCCATGGTCCCTTAACCATGCCTTGCTGAGTCACGTGACTCGCGAATATTCAAACGACCGGTCGAGAGTCTGGATCCTGGAAAAAATTCGCGGAGTGTTCGCGCTGGCAAGTCCTTCTTGAAATCTCTTGTTCAAACACGGTGTGATTGTACCCCACGGAGAAGTCAGCCCGACGGCACGTTTTTCTTCCGCCCAACGACCATTTTTCGTTGGGTTATGCGAGCTGGTAGATTGATGTTGCAGGCAGGCACTGAATATGGGCAAAAGTCTCGTGCTGAGGGCTGGCTGGGCGAGTGGAATTTCTTGGGTGATCTCGATGAAGAAGATGCAAATAATCGTGGATTCTCGTGTTACATTCTCACAAAATAAGGGAAGATTTATGTGGAGAATAACGTCGTATTTGTAATTTTAACGAATGGGAGAATTTAAATTAATATTCGACGCATCGGTCATTTCTCGACAGTTTTATTATTCGATTAACACTTTAATGGCCGCACGTTTACGCAGCCAAACGTTGTCAGGGATCGGCAATATTTTTGAAAAATTAATTTAAAAAAATTCTACTTAAAATTCACGAAATAATACAACATGCGCGGACATACACATAAAATAAAAAACAATAACAATTTAACAGCAAATTTAATATTTCTCCTTTGTGTGATAATTATTAATTATTAATCGGCGGTAGCATCACACACATGTTGTGCGAACGGCCATTAAATTGTTAATTAGAAATGTCCTGTCGCATTGATAAGCTAACTTTAAGAAGGTATACAAGTATTTGTACGTCATGACAAAATCAATTTTTGTACCGCGTTATGAAAGGAATTTTAATAAATTAGGGCCATCGAGAAAGAATTACGAAGTTTCTTTTATACGAGCTCAATTGTCTTTCTTTTTGAGGAATAGTATGATCTTATTAAACGAAAGTTTGCTTCTAGTTCGAGAAATTTGCGACTCGAATGAAGGCAGACGTGATCTTCTAATGGCAAGGGAATACGATATAGAATATAACGCGAATAACTTCTGTAGGTTGTAATGGGGAGGTGGTGGAAGAACACGTAAAAAGCAAACTCGATTTAAGTTAGATCCGTTTCAAGAAGGCACATTGGAACAGTTGTCAAGTGTTATAACATTTTATCAATAAAACTGCGATACTATCCGACGACGTCGAGGAAAAATCGATTCGAAACATAAATTGTAAACATGCGAATTTTCAAATAGCTTAGAGAACACTACATTCAATAATGTATTTTTCTCTGCGGTAAATGTGCCTTTTAATTCTGGAATTTCTACTTTTGTCCGCCGAAAATGGCGAAAAATTTTTCAAATCAACGAAATAACGTGTCTGTACCACGCAAAAACATCGAGTTTATCCGAAAGTTTAACAACGAATCGATTAACGAATACATCAGCCCGGAAATTTCATTCATGACTGTGCATGGACCAATTAAGATAGTGGTTCTTGTCTCTCTGC